TTAATTACTTGTTGTGACAAATTTCTCTTTAAAGACAATGATATTGTATCTTAGTACAAATTAATAAATGATTATCCCATAATTATTGCTTTCTTGGTCTTATTCATCCCATAGGTCTATTCGGTTACGCGCGCCCGCTCCCGTTACAAAAGACCGCGCGCCCGCTTGAAGGTTAAATTCTATATCCAACCACATAATTATATTGTGGTAATGATATATTAATTCTTGGTATAAATTCAATATAACTGTTATTTTACATTATGGGAGCATTTTTGTAATAATATTATCTCCAATGCTGTCATAATTTAACTTTTACCTGTTCCATGTAAAACATTTCATTTTAAATCCACTAAACTTGTAATTGTAAGACTGCATCATTGGTAGACTTTAAAATAAGTTGTCAAAGACTCATTTTATAGTTGTGCAAATTAGTGGTTTATTAGGATTTAGGGAACTTGAGAATAATGGCAAGCAGTCAATAAATTCACACTTTCTACATGGGACTCATAACTCAATTAACATTTAATAGTATTAACTTTTTAATTAGTGGATCTCTGTCATCTGTGATGTGCATATAAAATTAAATTTGTCCACTTGTATTTATTGTGCCTTAATTGATGTATGACCATAGATGAGATAAACAAATATTTAGATAATCCAATTTATTTCTCATATTTAAGCAACAAAACCGGACTGCATAGTATTTTGTCATAATTAAAAACAAAACAAACCATAAAGTTCTTTATTTTTTTATAAGCCTCCACTAATCCATTGTTTGGCAAAGCAAAGGCCCTCTATAATGCCAATATGTAAATGAGTTTATAATGTATTTTAATTTTGTCACAATATATATAACTTATTTTAAGTAATTAAAATTTATATCATTAACATCAATTTAAATGTTTTGTTGTATTTACAGATGAAATAGTGGAATTTTTACTGATGACACAAACTTCATGGCAAAAGCATTGTTCGAGTACTTACCCTGTCAATCTTTTTGTGATAGCAAAAGAAAAATAGATATTAATAATTTACAGTAATAGTGTACGAAATCAATCTAAGACAATTAATTAACATCTCAGGTGTGAAAATAAACTTTCATTGTTAAGAAATAAGGTATTTTCTTCCTTTGTCAATTTAATAAGACCAATATTTAATTAATGATTGATATTTCCCTATACTGCAGTATCTCATGATTGTTAGTAAGTACAAATGAATAATTTAATTGCAACCTCTTCCTTATGTAGATAGAACTAATATTATCTGTGTTACGACCTCCAGCAATGATTTATGCATGTGGTATTTATAAACAAAGTTAGACTACAATGACTTGGTTAAAGGAAGTATAGCATATTGACCACTCACATAAAGGTACATTTTATAGCCAAATAATGTTGAAAAGAGGTTTTATGTGGAATTTATATATAGGTTTATATTTTTACTTACATGTGGTGGTGGTTGTGCAGGCGTAATAGTCAGCCCACTGGCCGTCAGAGCCCTCAATTCGCTCAACTCAGGTGGCAATGCCCTGTATTCATAAATAAATTACATAATTCCACATTATCATTAAATGTAAACAAAAATATAAAATGAAATAATAACTCACCTGACGCTCAGGTCAACCGCCGAATCATCTACGTCCATTATGGTTACTCACTTCTGTAACAATTACGTATTACAATTAAACACAAATAATTTAGGACATCAATCAATATAAACAATACAAATTTTAATTATCACTGCACTCAATCTTCATTCTAAATAGAGATTATGAAAAACACCACGTTTAAGAACAGATTATGTCGATATTACAAACAAATTGGTAATCATTTAGATCGATTTTTTGTCCACCAAATGTAATGCACACGCACGCATCACCGGGATCACAGTTGACAAGACAACGGTCAATGGGCGCGAGTACCAAATTCCACAAATAATTTAAATAAAATATACCTAATTTCTATCACCAAAACCTAGTCACATATCTTCTTGGTAAACAAAATGTTATACGAATGTTTTTGCGCGAGATAAACGAATTTTAATTTGCACTCTAGCAGTCACAACAGCATTTGTCTCGCGGCCATTGATGACAGATTATACAGAAAAATAATTGTTATCATAGATTAGCTAACTTTCGTACTTAGTATTGTCTTTGGCGCATCAGTAATGTTGAAGTGTCGGTATGACTGATATGACTCAGAATAGGTGATCAGTTGATATGAATATTTTTTATTGAGAAGGTAATGACTAAAGTATTGATTTCACAAAGATTAACACAAAAATGATGAAATATTTAGAAACTAGAATTAACAACGTGATTTTAAGTTTTCAACATTCCTGTCCAGTGTCCAGTGCTGCCGCTGCTGCTGGGGATCTGGTCAAGGATGTCTAGTCTATGACATAATGACAATGACAGTGTCATTATGTCACTGTCATCGAACTTGTACGTAATTCGTGCATGTTAGCGCTGTGTTTACAACACAAAGTTTGAGGCTAAATCCACGTGAATCGAAATTATTCAAAATGAGTTCAGATTTCAATGTTAAAAGGCCAGGCCTAGAACTATTATCAAGTCAAGGACTACGTCTCGACGGCCGTAGACCTAATGAACTTCGTCGTATTCAATGCAAACTTGGTGTTTTTACACAGCCTGATGGTAGTGCGTATATTGAGCAAGGAAATACAAAAGTTTTAGCTGCAGTTTATGGACCTCATCAGGTACTATACATTATAAAACCGTATGAACTAATAAACGTGACAAAAACTGATTTGCCACTCAGTAATTTCAAATATTGTGCAAGCCCTTACCTACCATAATTTTATCCATTAAACACTATTTATAATAAAGGTGCTCATAGTAATAAAGCTCAGACTATCTAAGACATAACATAACATCACGCCTTTTACCCCCGAAGGGGTAGGCAGAGGTGCAGATTATGCCACTGTACAATGTAACACCCACTTTTCACTATTTATGTTATGAGTCCCATGTAATAGGGGGTGAGCC